AAAATGTATTTAAGCCAACTGAAAGTTTAAGTGAACGTGATATTTTTCAAATGTTCCCTGCTTTATCTGCTTTATTTATTCTATATAGTTTTTTGTATTTGTCAGAATTTATTTCTGCCTCCTGAAGGCTGCGTCGGCAATTACAAAGGAAAGTTTTGACAGCATTTTGGATGCAAATCCAGGCGGCTCATCTCACTACACAGCATGGAGACCCATTTGCACCATAGCCAGAGGTCTTTGCAGTGTTATATGAACATTAATAGGCCTGTATAATATAATAATGTACAAAATATTAAATAGATGTAATATAGTGTAATATTTTTCATATAAAACAGATACGCTGAGCCTTCACATCATACCCGGGGATGATGTCAGTAAGTCAGTTTGTCTTATGTGAAAGTAAACTGAATACTTTTCGGATTGTTGGTTGGACAGCACAAGATATTTTAAGATGTCACCTTTAGGAAGTTGTCTTTTAATATTCTGCCTCTCCCCTCAGAGTGATGGCACAAATATCAACAACTTAAATAAAAGATAATCCATCTTGAGATAATCCATCTTTTCAGTCTTTGTCTGTGTCCCATCCACAGGTGATCGATGTCGTCACGAGCTTTCTTTGGGTCTATGAATGACACAACAGTCGGGCAGAAGTTTTTCTTCCTGTGTGCACTGAGCTGTCAGACTCTGCTGCCTTTTAGCTGCTTTATAGATCGATCAAGCTGTCCTGGCGTTCGTCATTGCTGTGGACTTGCATGTTGTTTTGAGATAGTGATGGTGGCAGAAGAGGCTAGTTCGCAGATCTGCTGCCAAATAGGAATTATTTATCTGTGGTCTAAAGAAAAACGCCTATTTTCTAAGCCAGGCGACATCAGAAGATTCTCAAAATGTCACCCGCTGAGTTTTTAGATTTAGTCGTTATTTTTGGAGCACAGACACCTGAAATGACTTCAAATAAACTCTGTTCACAGAGGCAACTGGTCGCTGCACCGAACTTGTAAAAAGACATCATTATGCATGCACTCTTCATGTGCTTTGGTCTCAGAAATAGAGGACATAATCAAGGAAACCACAAGCAGTCCTCAGAAGCTGCGATGGAATTTGTCTTCGAACTGGAGATACGTGTTACGTGGCTCTGCTCCATTTCTCAGCTTCAGCAGATCAGGTTTCCAGCTTTCTTTGTCTCTTACGTACATTTGAGTAACGTGAATAAAGAGGAGAGGGTGACGGGTGCAAAAGATAAGGCTTTGTTCTTGTATTTAAAGCCCACATTTTTACCTCGAATCAGTGACACTGTGAACGACGGATTTGTGCAGCTGATGAAGCTCTCCGCTGGCTGCTAAAAAAAACATCAGCAGCTAGTCGCACAGTTCGCAATTTTATTGCCACATTATACATTCTCCGTGTCCGTCAACTGTCTAATCAGACTCGAGGAATAAAGGAAAAGCTGGTGAGAAACAATAGAATGTTTGTCAAGCCAAGAATCATGAGGAGTCGTCAAATACAACCTTTGTGAGCAAGACACTTAATATTCACCATCACCTCCCTTATCTTTAAAGATGAATCACAGCACATTGTCAAGAAATACCATGAAAAGATAGAAAGGATAGAGGTGTGTCTGTATGTATACTGGTTTTAATACTTACGATGAAACATCCTGATGGTAACAACATCGCCGACACTTTCTGTTTCAACTCTTCTGTTACATATTTCTCAAAGTAAGGTGGTGTTAGTTTTAGATGTTAGGAGGGAAAGTGCATCCGTATCTTTTTTTGTGTCTGTCTAGAGCCGCCTGTCAAAAAGTAGTGTGATTCAAGCAGGGTGGCAGCACACAGCCACTCGTTAATTCTGCCAGAATAATACAGAGCAGCCTCAGCCTAATGCGTGTGTTTGTGTACACTCCCTCTCGAGTCCCCTGGCTCTCTATTTTATCAAAAGCAGCACTAATGACCCTCCGCCTGGTCCCATCTCTCCTCATCGGTCCTTTCTACAACCGCCGCTGCTGCTCGAGCACACACACACTCACACACACAGATTCAAAGCAGACACACTTTGTTCAAAACAAGCACACACACACAGACTATCTTTTACTTATGTGCTGGGTTTGCATCATTTCAAATTTCACTGTGTGATCGTGCACTTTTAAATGAAACGGACACACACACACATTCTTTCTCGGATATATAACACCCAGACACTCGCGTCAAGAAGCAGGGGCAGCACATTATATTGCACTCATTTATTCTTGTTTGCCTGTTTATGAATTACTTGATTAATTATAGCAAAACCCCTTTGGCTGGCATCTGCTCTGTGATTTACTGTACGCAGCATACAAGCTACATTAAGGGCCGTGTTCATAAATCTGTCTTCCCTGACACACTGCTGCTCCCTCGTGCCACACTGAGAGCCTCCTCCAACACGTGAGCTTTATTACTGAAGTGCTATTGCAATTACACTCTGTGTTTGCACCGCCTACCCATCCGTCCAACAACACAAAGCCATCAAGAAAATTCGAGTTTAGTTTCATATATATCTTTTCTTTTTTGTTTTGTTTTACTTTGCTGCCTCTGATAAGATGGCAGAATGGTGGAACTCAGCAAAGAGAAACATTGATCCGATGTGACAGCCGACAGGTCGCTCTCTCCCCTTTCAGTTGGAATTCCCTGTCGGATGGGGGAAAGGAGGCTGGACACAAATGGTCTCTCCATCAGCTCTTAACCGCTGAAGACGCGCGTCGGGCATGCAGTCATCTCTCCCATGGCTAACATCGTCAGAGGCCAGTGGAGAAACACTCTGAGAAACATTTCTAGGTCTGCCACTTCTGTTTAAAAGTAAAACCTCTCAATCCTCGCCTCAGGGAACAAACAAACCCGAGAAAATGGCCCCTATGCGCTCTTCCATATGGGGGGGATGTACCCAAATCCGTTATTCAGAAAGGCACATATAATGTGGTGGAAACAAATGTTTCTTTATTATTCGTGGTGAAAAAAGCCGTGATTGACATGTCTGTGTCACAAGAGGTGGGTACCCAAGTAAAAGTGCTGTTATTCTGCAAATACTTCACACCATGTGATATACAACGTACTATTATAAATACACTCAAAGCACCAGCAGGCTGGTTGTTAAGAGTTTATTGCGGAAGCAGAAAGTATCGGCGGTGTTGTTACCATCAGGATGTCTCAAGTATTAAAATCAGCGCACAGACACGCCTCTCAACGTTCCTCAGACAGACATAAATACTACATTTACTGAGAACTAGTGCTCCAGGTATTATATACTGAAGCTGGAATGTGTATGTGGGCTCGACACACAAATAAACTGCTGTAGCCGTGTTGATGATAATGAAGGAAGATGTAACCCAGTGCAAAGATGTGGCTCACTGTGTTTTTATATATTTTTAGGCAACAATGCAGGTCTATGCAGAATAAGATTAAGATAAATCAGGATTTGGCTACACAGGCAATACGTAGTTAATACTTATTGATCCATTGTTGTTTTTTGTTTGGAGAAGAACTATATAGTGGACACATTTCCCACTCAAATAAATATAATGCACTATAGAGCAAATGGAGTGATTTCAATAACAGCACAACACACCTGATGAAGCACACTAGCTGGGTTCGACTGATGAATAAACACTCAAGGTGTCTTTTCCAAACTTTGATTGTCTTATTTAGTCGAGTATTTCCTGCTTTAAGGGAGCAGTTTGACTGTAATGGAAGATCTTGTTATTTGTCGGGTAAGCTTTCGGCCTGTGCAACAGAAAACATCTTCTGACGGAGTCTGTGAGAATATCTGACTCACCAGCCGGCATGAAACCCTGGCCCTTTTGAAAAATGCAATTTGGAAACTGCGGTTGTCAATTCAACATCCAGTCTCGTTTGTTCCTTCATTCAATCATCTGATTTATTTACTTTCCAACTATGTGATGCAGTGTTTTTGTAAAGCCGTCCGTCGTTGCTCACTCATATCTCCAACAACATGCGTGAGAGTTTCATGCAAAGGCTCATGGGTAGGTTTAAAGAGCACGCTGCCGGCTACCGGCTGTGAAATATGCATGATAAGCACAAGAGTGTGATGCTTCCGAATAGTCTATGCACATGATGTTTGAAAGGTTTTTGAAATGTCTGCAAATACTAGTTATGTATTAAGGTGTGAAACGTTGACAAAAAGCTCTCAAAAAGCTCTTTAAAAGGTAATCAAAGGCACTTTACATGGTAAAAACATGTAAAGTGCAACAGTGGATGCCAGTGGTTTGTACCCATCTGATTGCAATTTGTTTTCTCTTCGTCTTCCTCAATATTTCTGCTGAGTCACTGCTCCACACTGCTGCCACGCTCTCAAACTCTCTTTCTGGCTGCCCTTTGTCCTGACTCTGTTTTCCCTCCGTATAACACGTCTGTCTCTTCTCAATCACTTTCTCCCCTCCGCTCTCTCTCTCTCTCTCTCGTCTCCAAGGCTTTCTAGTCTCTAGCATGAATCTCCCCTTTTCCTCTCGCTTCTGCTCTGCTACCTTTTGTCTCCTCAGACGTCTCTTCCTTTGTCAGGGTTTCAATATCTTTCTCAACTGTCTTCAATTTCTTTTTCTTTATTTTCTTTCAAACATTGGTCCCACTGGTTAATGGAGAGTTGGTGACTGATAATGCAGCTCAAGAAGATACATTAACTTTGCCTCAGCCTCGGCCTCAGGGAGTCTGGCCCAGTGGAGATAGAGACGCGGAGGAAGAGCGGTTTTAAATGGACTGTTGTAGATTGCATCGATGAGATTGCTTTTAATCCTGCTGGAGTTCTGTTGTTGCAGGCCTTACGTTTCACATAATTAGCTTTGGACAGGAAACGTGTGCGGGCCTGTGATTCCTAGCCTGTGACTGATTTTTCTTTTTTTAAGCTTGGCTGAGAGGACGACAGTTTTTCTCTTTGTAATATCTATATGTGTCTGTCTGCACATGTCGAACGTGTGTTGTTTGGATATTTACCAGGTTGCCTCTTTCTGTATTTTCCAGATGTACAAAAGCAAAGTAATGGAACTGGGAGAGAAGCTGCTGCCTGCCTTCAACACGCCAACAGGAATCCCCCGAGGAGTCATTAACCTGGGGAGGTGAGTCTCAGCAGCAGCCTTCACCTCCAAAAGTCCTCCATCCCTGATAAAGGACGATATCAAGATATCACGCTGGCTGGCATTAATCAGTGCACATGCAGTTCATTCGTCTTGATTCAAAAAAAAAAACGTGAGCCGAGTCTGAATTGAGATGTGAAGTACTACGAAATCAGCTACTATTGTATTCAACCTTCCTCTGAATCCTCAGTTAAGTTACACACAGCAACACTGAATTTTAACTTTCAGTCATGATACATAATGTAAACTTTCATCTTCTAAAAGAAGAAAGTAGATTCGTCTCCTACTCAGCTGTAGTTTCATAACAAAATTCAGCTCAACGTGAATTTTCAGAAATGACTCCAAATTTTCTCAGAGATGACGTTAAGAAAAGAACATTATGAAAAGAATACTTCTAACAGACAGGTCCACAGTCTCTGTTTGTTGACAATGCCACAGCTGCAGGCTGAGCTTTACACTGACCATAATATTTGGATAAGAACTAATCTCTGTTCATAAGTACATTGGAGGATCACATGAATAATATTTGCTTGTATTTAAATGAGTTGTTTTAATTTTTAATCTGTTCCAACCCATTACCTTTCTAATCAAAAATATTTACCGACACAATCTTATTAACGCCGCGGTCACGCAACACATCAAGCTATTTTCATTTTGGAACATTTGACCATGAATCTCTCCGTGTTTGGAACTGGGTTTGATTCTCTTAAGCGAGAGTGGCGATGTGCAGTGTGCTTCTTGTTTTCTGATTTAACAATTTTAGAGTGAGACAGGAACATCTGACAAAGTGATGCTGATAACAGCTCTGTGTCAGTGACTGTGACAGTCAAATTAGCATCGCTAGCTGACATACCCACAGCCTGACTTTACCTCGGTTTCATGCATGAGCAGCAGCCCAAAAAAGTTCACTTAATGATTCATTTGATGAAGTGTCCTGGATCTAAAATATTACACTCATAAAGCCATGTTTGATTTTTTTGGAAGTTATTTAGCCTGATTTAAACTGTCAAACTCCTTTTTGTTCCTCTGTTTTTAAGATTCCTGTGAATCCTCCAGTTTATCCTCTCATTGCCTAATCTTATTTTATAAAATACTTCCTGGCAGCCTCTGTCATCCACCTGCTACCACTTGCCAGCCAAGCTGGACAGCTGCTGGCAGATTTAATTACCTTTTTCTACAGTTAATTCCTGCTACATCACCAACATGGGCCTGTGGTACAGATGGGCAGGAGGCACCAGGGTGCCCATACTGCGGTCATGTGGGGTGCACGCAGCAACGTGTTGTGCAGACACACAAACAAGCATATGCACTCTATATACATACACACACACACACACACACACACATACACACACGTCACTTGAGATGAGCATATGCAATGTGTAACAGAACACAAGCAGGCAGTCTGCACACAGGGGGGTTCAGTTCTGCTGCACAGCCTGTGCTTTTGTCTCCATATGGGAAGTATCTTCTTATATAAGTGAAGGACTCTTGTGCATTACTTTGTGTTATGAGTCTTTTCCTGCATGTTTGTGTTGTTGTGATTCGTCAAACATCTGCAGGTGTCTTTTAGGTCTGTGCTTCATCTGGTACAATACATCCGATGGCAACAAGATGAAACCAGATCTCTTTTTTTAAGTACTGAAAAAATTAACTAAGCAATTAGAAGTGTTTTTTTTCCAAACGTTCATGTTTCTTAATTCTGAGGGTTTCTGAGTTTATTTTTTTTATTTGACAGTAAACAGATTTTCTTAAATTTCTAACGGAGAGATTGTCCGCTGTTTGCAGAGCTCTGCGACCACACCTGCTCAACCTAGCCTCAGCAGCGGTGCTGGACAGGGAGAGGCCAGACCCAGAATTTCTCAATGAGGGAGAAAGAGTAGATATATACTTCCAGCAGCTTGTCAGAGTTTTATTTATTTTTTTGCATTTTTTGTGGGAAAACCATATTAAATTAAATATTAATCACAGCATAGTATTTATTTTTACAATTTTAAAGCGTGCCTGCAGGGGAACTTTAAGGTTTTGGACTGTTTGTTAGACAAAAGCCATTTTGAAATGAAATGATTTATCAAGAAAATAATCAGCTGCTTAATCATTGATGACACTATTTATTAGTTTTAGATCTACTTTTTGGCTGATGGTAACTGTGCTTCTTCATTAGACTTCACTCAACCTGCGTTCTATGGGAAAAGCTTTTCAATGTGCAGGAATAAATAAACTATTTATACTGTGGCAACATGTGTGTATATACTATAATACACAGCCCCCTAAAAATAAAGAAAACAATTCAAAAGAAGATTGAATGTTGGCATGTTCTACTGCTATTGCTAAAAAGTCCTTGAACCCTTGAATTATTTTAGCTCTTCTGTTACGATGCACAAAAATGCCAATTTCCCCAACATATTATGCGTGACATGCGTTATTGATTTTTGCATTTTTTAAAATTATTTTCCTACACCTCGTTATATGTCTGACAGCTTTGGAAGAGTGTGAGCGTGTGTTTGTTAAAGGGGTGAAAAGATTAATGAGTGCTCCCATCTCCTCCACCGCTCCAAACACACATAAGCACACCACCTGCTACCCTGCAGCTCCGCTTTGATTCTCAGATTGATTCTTCTTAAAGGACGAATCAGATGTGACTCGAGCCAGAGCTACTAATGATGTAGCCCCCAAACTTTTAATGGATGCATTCATCAGAGCGGCACACTCTTTGACTCACACACCACCCACCACCCACCTTTTTTTTTTTTTTTATCTCCCTCCAACGTGTTCCCTTCTTACAAATTCTGTTCAATTCATTACCGGATGTCTCCAGCATCTATTAGAGGATATGTAAAGCCATTCTGCTGGTACATTCTGCCTCAAGTAATCACGGCCGTGCATTAGTGCACCGTCTCAGAGACCGCACATTAACTGAGAATTAGATTTGCAGAGTAATATTACCCACACTGACTTGAGGAAATAAAACTGAAGGGTATAATATGTGTCTGACCTTGATGTTCATAGTGTCTGGGTAACTTTTTTAAGCCGTCGCTACACAGTGAAATCACATAACTTGGAAAGTTTCAAGTTGAGGTTAACGAAGGCGGCAACCTCCGGGTCTGAAAAGTAAGTGCAATGCCGAAGTGCCTTAAACTTGCATTCTTTCTAATGGCCTTCAGGGGGCGACTCCTCTGGTTGCAAAAGAAGCTTGATTGTATAGAAGTCATGACTCTACTCCTCACTTGATTTATTACCTCAGAAAATATTATGTCTGTGGTCTCAATCTCTATAGTTTCAAGTCTTCAATACAGCATGACGTTCATTTAGTAAATAGTGGTCCCATTTAGAGTAAAATAGCCATAAAGCAGGGTAGACTTTAGGGCGGGCTTACTGTGATTGACAGGTCGCTGCCGCCGCATTATCTGGTCTGGGAGTTGTTTGTGTTTTCGTCTTACAGCTTTAAAGTGTTTTCAGTTCATGAAATGTAATTGTTACCTTTTTTGTCGCATACAAATGTTTTATTCAACAGTCGGTTGTACTTAGCTCCATCGTTTTGTGTCACTTTTGGTTACAAAAACCAAGATGGCGACAGTCAAAATGTCGAATTTGAGGCCTAAAAGCGGCTGTCCACAAACCAATGGGTGACATCATGGAGACTACGTCCTCTTCTTACATACAGTTTATGGATTAATTCAACTTTACATAGACATCAGTCACAACAGGCAACGAGCACGAGTAAGCTTGATTTTTTTTTTTTTTGACCCAGCCCAGTGTTGCAAACTCTTTACCAATGAAAGTAGCTAGTAGCAGTGCTAGCCCCAAAAGTTGCTAAATCTAGCGAGAAAGTCGCCAAGTCGGCAACACTGAGAGCCCTTCCCTTCAGGTTTCCCTCTAAAGCCACTCCTCCACGTAAACATTTCATAATTAATGAGAACAACAAACATGGCTGTTGTTAGTTTGCACATCTGTCAAGCTAGCAGCTTGTGGAAGACGCAGCTTGTGATGTGCAATGAGTTTAAGGGCAGAGTCTGCACAGGTAGGCTGTCGGGCTTATCACAATCCTGCGATGTCCGCAGACACCGGAATTTTTTCACATTTTTTATATGTCAGAGCATTTGATTTATTGATTGCTGTAAAGACAATTTTAACAAATATGACAAAAAAGGTTTCGAAAGTGCATTATGTAACCGAGCTTTATTGGTCGATGCGGGTAATCACTTATTCAGTTTACTATCACAGCATACACAGAAAATAACAAAATATTCTATATTTTAGAAGCTAGAACCATCAAAATTGTGGAGGATTAACGTTCTGTCAAATGCTAATAGATTAATCGACTCATTGTTTTAGCTTTGTTGCACACAGTTTAGAAAGAATGAGTATAGGAGGATGATACATGGTCCAACTCTGAAAACCACAAATAATAACAGCTGAATGTTTAAATAGATCGATAAACTTTGGATGGAATGCATTACACACATCTCTGGAGACATGCAGTAGATTAGATTATTGATTTCCATCTGAAAAGGGAATAAAAAAAACAAGACCTGTCTGTTATGATGCATTAAGCACAGACAGAAGAAGAGGCACTCTGAATGGGCGACTTTCTATAACTTTGTTCAGTAAAACCAAAAGTAATACTGCTGCTGATACAGGAGGATCACATGAAGCACTAGTTCATTCAGAAGAGTGTGCTGCATTTAGATGAATCAGTTAGATCTACAGTACGGACTGCATTCATGCATTATTGGTGCTTTTATTTTATTTTACCTAAAGTTTTTTTGCATATTCCTTTATTTTCAATTCAGATTTAAACTAGTACACTTTTCTTACCCTGCTGTAGATTTTCAACTCTACATACTGTAGACATATTTACATTTATCATGAACATGGTCGCTTTCAAGAAGTAACTGTGTTGCATTACTCGGTAGTAAAGAAAAAAAAAATGGTTGTGATAAATCTGTTGAAATCAGGAACAACCTTCTGTTTATGATATTAAGTCTGACAAACGGTGAAATAAGGAAGCACACAAAACTAACGACGGTTAAAAGGTGAGCTGTGCTCCCGACTAACAGGCTTGTTGATCATCATTATGTGGCCTCAGGTTCCCGTTTCGCCCACCTTTAGAGAAAATAAACATACTTCTGCTTACTGTGTTTTTGACGGCATGAACACAAACACTGTCAGCTACACCTACAGTGTGAAGAGACACTGATCAAACCTGTTACCTGATGATTCACTTTTCGAAATAAACTGCACATAATGCAGTAATCTTATGAAGGTGTTTGTCCTTGAAGACGCCGGTGTGCAACAGCCATGAGACTTAGTCTACTTGTTTGGTTATTGTTGCAGTGGCACCAGTTGGAGTTGGGGCTGGGCCTCAGCCGGGAGCAGCATCCTGGCTGAGTTCGGGACTCTTCATCTCGAATTTGTCCATCTTTCGGAGCTCTCCAGGAATCCCATCTACACAGAGAAGGTTTGATATATATATACAGTATATTTCCAGTGTTACTTTTCAGGACTATTCTACTGAGGTTTGACCATGGATTGGGAGTGTAGTATTCTGATATTCATTGTACCCTGGTGTCTTTGCAGGTGATGAACATCAGAAAACTACTGAACAAGATTGAAAAACCCCACGGCCTGTACCCCAACTTCCTCAGTCCAGTCAGCGGCAACTGGGTCCAACGTAAGTACTGTGTCCGCTGTATACGGAACCTTCATTCTGGAGATTAATGTAAGATTATGAGTGCATTTGGGTTGTAGAGTTTAATTTGTAATGAAGGACAAGTCAATGGCTTTCTTGCATTATTAGAAAGAACAAAAAGAAAGTGACAAATCACTCTCAGGTCATTCTTGTTACCTCATAAGTATTACAATAATTGTATTTTCCCAATGTGGGATTAGAGTAAAATACTTAGAATGTCATTTTTCCATTTTTACCTTCCCTATTTCTGACTCTTTCATTTGGCTTTCACACCACTGAAAGACCTTGAGTCACCTCACGTGTCAAAGCTCTTATTGCTGCTCATCTATGTCACCCACCCATCTGTCTACTTCCTTTCATTTTTAATATCAGCCTCATAGCAATGGCTATATACTCCCATTGCTCTGGGTTATTAAAATTATAATGAATTCAATTACTTCAGGAAATTGGATCTTTCCGATTTACCTAAAAGGAGTTGTGGGGGGGGGGACAAAAAAGGATGCGATAAGACGACGCTGGGACTGAAACAGTGGTAATCTGGATGATTACAGAGACTAATTGTTGTGGGTGGGTGTGTAGAGAAGCAAAACTGTATATACGTATTGCAACAAAGGGGGGGAAAAAAGAAATCTTGGCTTCACAGCTCACCCTCTTCTGTCTATGTCAAGGACAAACACAGCAGCACTGTGATAACCTTGCGGGGGAGTCGGCAAACGTGTGTGCATTCAAAGAGCATGAGTGGATGGATGAAGACCTGCAGTATGCACGCCTCCACTGCAATATCATATTCATCTTTATGAGTTTGAACATGGACTTATACTTACCACTCAGAAGCTTTAAGTGTCTTACATAATTCAAAATGTTCTACCATCAGTGAACAGAGAGCACGTGGCTTCATGTAACTTGATCATGCATGCCTCGAATTATCCACAAAAGCCCTAAAGGAATGACAAAATGTAGAAAATGCAGTTTATGTTGAATTTTTTAACACTATGACATATGTTAGTCAGATAGCGTGGGCTGTAAGACTTAAATGAAATAACAGGGTTTCTTGTAGGGTTAGCAAAATTGGGACCCTTTTAATACGACATCGGGCGCATTTTAATACCTGTTTCCCCATTATACCGGCCAGTGTGAAAGTATTATGGAAAACCAGAACGATATGGCCTAGAATTTTTGGATGTATTAACTGATGAAAATTATTTATTCATATATTTTTGATTTTGCTAAAAAATCAACAATTGCCCATTATTAACTTCCTTGCTTACTGTAGCTAGCAGCAGTGGCGATGTTTGCTACAGGTCTGAAGGTGCTGACTGAAAGAATTGAACGGCCTCATGCACTCACAATCCACTGTGACAATAATCCCATTTATTGTTGAAAAGTGTGTTTCCCAACAGCCTGATTGCATACAAAAACATTTGTATTTTGCAGATAACCTGAATGCAGACCTGTACGTGACCCTGCTGAATATTTTCCTATTCCCGTTCTTAGATCACGTTTCCATCGGTGGCCTCGGGGATAGTTTCTACGAGTATCTGATCAAATCATATCTGATGTCAGACAAGACGGACGAGGACGCAAAGAAAATGTACTACGGCGCGATGGAGGTATGGAGATTTGAATATTACATTTCACGCTTAGGCATGGCTCCATTTGATGAAATGATAATAGTTACAGTCATTTGCATAAGCCTGCAATCAAACAAAGTGCTTTACACTCAATACAAACAGAGAGTGAGACAAAACAGCGAACGGGCAGCAGCTACATTGCTTAAAGTTTTAGGGGATCGTTGAAGACAAAGAACATCGTCAGTTACTGAAATATTCCTGATGACTTCATTCAGACTTTTATAAAAAAGAGCCACAATGTTTCCTTGATGTTTGGCTCGTGGTGCAACAGAGATCGTTGAGTTAAAAAAATGAGCGTGACTGCTGGAAGCTTGATCGATGAGGGTCGCACCCCCCCCCCCCCCCTTCTCCCCTTCTCTCAGAGTGAATTCCCTCATGAAATGTCTCATCAATTATATATCATTTGACATTATTGGAGAGCTGCCTGTTTTATTAAACCTGACACACGGGCAGGCAATACGTGGCACAACATTAAGTTGGGTTTCTCACATACTGTATGTTTAGAGTCCTACTGATGTTTGTACATGTATGGAAACGCAAAATATAAAACGTTACTGCTGGCCTTGTTTTTTAACCCACACTGAGGGAGGAACAAGTGAATACACATGCATTGAATCGCTCTTTGGGCATATTAATCTTAATCCTGTTCTGCTGTAGTCATTGGGTTATGACGGCATAAAATTCAGACTTGTACTGTGTTGTAAGTTTTACAACCCATCAACAGTGCTGTCATGACTTTTAAGCAGAAGTGACAGGTTGAATTGCCATCTCATTTACATACCAATGTGCATGTCTGAAAGTGTTTGTACTGCACTTAAAGAAATAATGGAGTGATAGTGCAAAGCAAAGTGTCCTATTGTCACTCAAAACCCTTTTTATGCATTGATGATTAGAAGATTCTATCTCCTACTGACAGTCAGTGGATCCTATTTCGAAGCGGATGTAGGCCTGTAATGGATGCTTTTATTCAAAGCACCATACCGTGATTATATACAGCGGGAGTACGTTTGTGACAGAGATGCTCTCAGTGGAACAGTCATAGGGCAAAGAAAGGAAGATGATATCGAAAAGGAAAGCTTCCTGTTAGTGCGTAATGGCATTATACGGCAACTGATTCATGTATTTATATAAACTGTCATGTAAGATTGTAGTACTCTAACTACCTGCAAAAAAAAGCCTGTGCACATGAACCCACTGCACAGTATACACATGCATAAAAAAACACATCAGAATCCATCTGTTTTTGTCTTTAATGGAGATAATGTCAGAGTAAAGCAGATTCCCTCCGGCTACAATTACTGTATCACAGACAATAACCTAAAATTGCCATTGAAGATTTCCTCAGTTCTCATCGGAGGGTCAAGCCAGAGGCATAACTGCTAATTACAGACGGTCCTTCTCTCCTGTGACTTGGTATTTAAATGGCCAGGGACCCCCGTGCTATCAGATTAAGTTATATACTGTGTGTTTGTGCAGAGATCTAAGGTGAAGGCGCAGCACAACTCATTATCTTTGGCATTCATGTAAAAGTAGATTACTAATTAAAACACAGTGTTGAATGCGAGAACATTTTCCAATTAGACTATGCCATGATTACTGCTAACAACTGCTAATTAGCAGTAAATTATCATCCTTCAAGAAAAACGATTTTCTTTTTTCTTGAGAACATGGTATTTATAAGCTTTCATAGTATACACGTGTTGGTTTTGTCCTCAGCATGTTTCATCTTTATCAACCCTCATTTAGCATCAAAAGTTTCTCTCATACAGCAAATTAAAATATCTCACTCCACAAACCAATTGCTCTTCACATATAAAGCTAAAAGAGGATGTCTTAATTTCCTCATTTTATTTTTCCAAGCACATCCTAAAAGAGCTGTTACAAAAAAATAATGAACGATTGGACCCGAGGTTAGAGAGAGAATTTACACTTTTAATCATCAGCACTTTGTGAGGTGTTGCTGCTGAATAGCACAAATCTGTATTTAAAAGCAGAATGAGCACGGAAGAGATGAGACGGCGATGAGAGAGAGAAAAATCTGTTGAAGAGAGAGAATGATAAATTGTTCAGAAATTATCTTACGAGATGTCCTTCCAGCTGTTATATTCTGTCTTATAAAAGATAAAATGCTGACAGGAAACACGGTTGCAAAAAGGCAGAAATGATAAAACTTTTTTTCTCCCTTTTGATTTTCTCTGCCTCATCCATCTGTCTTTTGATCATTTATTAAAGAATCTGTACTGGTCCTCTTCGGGGTATCAGATGAAATCCCTCAGAGGTTTGTCTTACTGTTATACAACATATACATTTAAAATATAAATGCAGATGTTTACAGTGTAGCAGCCGTGTTGGACTCCTCTCCCTGTTTGAAGATTGTCCACATATACAGACCTTTATAGAAAACAGCGTCTATAGATACTCCAATTGGGAAGTTGGGAAGTTGCATCCGTCAGATCAAAACTGTTTTTTGTGTTCATAGAATCATTGCTGTTGCGTCATTTTAAAAAGTACTAAAACGTAGTACTCCTATTCAGTTCACAGTAAAATACACATTCTGTAGGCTTACGTTAATGCTGGTTTAAATAGTCCTGACCTTGTGTTGCTGCAGGCGATTGAAGCTAATCTGGTGCAAAAGTCCCCCGGTGGTCTCACCTACATGGCCGAGTGGAGGGGAGGAATCCTGGACCACAAGATGGGCCACCTGGCCTGCTTCTCAGGGGGCATGATCGGCATCGGGGCTGACGATGGAGCGCCGGAGAAGAGGCAACACTTCCTGGACCTGGCTGCTGAGATCACACACACATGCCACGAGAGCTACACTCGCTCAGGTGAGTGGAAATGTCAGGAATGCTGAAGAGGAATACTCAAGCTTCGAGAGGCTGGACTATGGTTCAGTTCAGGAGGCTCAATGTCGTACAGGAGGAGGGCAGCCGATGAGTAACTCTTGCTGCTCATTTTGTTTTATATATAAATGTACCACGTCAAATTGAAAGATCGTTTTTTTAAATTCTTACCTATAGTTGTATAATGTTTTTTTCAAGATAGAGTTCTGCACATGCTTCGGATTCAGGATTCAATACTTTATTGCCGTACAATTTGGTTTTAAGTGTCAGAAATGGAACCAAAATAAAATAGAGCCCTGAGTCCAGCCCGTACCCGGTTATGTGCTTGCTTTGGAGGACTTCTCACTCGGTTCAGTGGCAAATACACACATTGCAGTCGGCTACCAGCATGCAACATTATAGCATCTCAAAATAATACATTTTCCACCTTACTGGTTAGTGTTTATCTTTCCTAAAACTTCTTGCTTCCCATCATCCGAAATGTGAACTGGTAAGTAATTTCTACTCGGTGTTCATACTCTTTGGATCCAATTCATTGGCTATTGTAAGAAATAAGCGTATGCTCGATCACTGTTGTGGTTCACCTTATCTTTCCTTCTTAAGAGAGGTTATGGTGGCATTCAAAGTAAGAAAATTACGAGTGTAGGAGTGCAATATTGTAAATTAAAAAGGCCCCAGACGTTTCAATTTTGCCCTGACTGAAAATGAGAATCGCTCTCGGTGGCTTCACCTCAACAGAGAGACAAAAAGCCTAATAACGAGCTGCGAAAAATCACAGTCCTTGATTATTCTCCAACGTCTCACAGCTGTAGGCAGCAACAGCCGACATGGAGGTGTCTCGAAGTGTGTTAGATACTGATAATCACATTTTTGTTATAATTCAGGAGAAAGAATGAAAAGAAAAGAGACTAGGAGAGAAAATGGAGATACAGTATTGAAGAATAATAAAAACTGAGTCCACAGGCAATCTTACTGCGGCTCCAACCTATAAATGAGGGAGAGAGGAGGAGTTACCCAGGAGAAACATGCAATAGAGAGTGAAAAAGGAGAGAAAGTTGCCAGCAACAAGCCTGGCTTCATTTTTTGGAAAGGCTGTTGTTTGATCTCTTCTCTTCCCTGGCATCTGTCTTGGCCCTGACAATAATCTCCTCTGCTAATTTCAAGCTTCTTTTTTCACCCCCCTCCACTGATGGCTGGGCTGTAAGGATTCATCCTCAAGTGTTCACTCGCCTTCGCTTCTCCAGTAAGATAACGTGACTCGTCACGTAACAGGTTCCTTGATACACTTGGAGTACTTTTGATCTGCAGACCCAAAAGGCTTCTCTCTCATAGTCATCCACCAGGTTTCTCTTTACTCATTAAAAGGGACTGGATGGGTTCTTAGCAGCTCTTGGATTAGCTGTCTGCAGAAAAGAGAGAGAGAGAGAGAAGAGAAGAGAGATTTGCCATCGCATGTGCGTAAAGTGGCGGCTATTTAGCTTTGTCTTCAGTAAGGATACCTTGAAGACTCTCCTCCTGCTGCTGCTCTAGATATCTGCCACCGTCACAGCAACAGACTGATGCTGGAAAATGGAGGTCTCATGGGAAGCAGCAGGAAGAGGAAAATGTTATTGGTTTCAGAGAAAAGGTGGTAATAGAGTTTTAATTAGCTTAGCTTCGTGCTTTTCTCCTATTGATATGTATGAGCTGATGTATAATAGAGTCAATTTGAAAGACTGACAAGCATGTATCACTTAGGGCTATCACCTCTTATTCTAACTACTGTTCAAATATAGGAACAAATATATATTTGATCTGTAATCATTGATGATCAGTGGGGAATTAACAGAACACAGTAAACTGGATTTTGCCTGAGGAAATGGAATCATGTACAGAAAGCAAGTGGGTTAGGAAACTGGTTGGTATGAAAGATACAATGATACATGTGCACACTTACCAAAATGTATTTTGGCGTAAAAGATCTCTATTCAGTTCCCAAAGCGGGTCGAACAAATCCCGAGACAAACTTCAAAATTGTGTTTGACATTCATCTGACGAACTTGTGGAAAAATCGATTGTGTTGTCTGTGAGTTACCGTTGATCCTCTGTTGAATTAGCGTTTAATATTCCAATCACAAGCATCAACAGCACAGATAATTACTAAGTTCAAAACAGGCTGTCAGGAGGCAGGAAACAGCCCAACAGTGAAGTGTGATCAGGAATCAGATGTATGTAATGAAAAGTGTTTCTGTTGGGGAGGAGGGGCTCTGAAATGTGGAGCTACAGGTGTGGCGTAGTTATGAAGTTGTGCTGGCTAAGTTGGTGCAGTGGAGGTGTACATTTTGCTAAATTTCTTCAAGACAATAATTAAAGGTACCATGTGGGTTTTTTGACCTTAGAGACCATCTTCTCCCTTAAAAGAGAATAGCACTGGTCCACCTTAAAGGTCATTTCACTTTAATCATCAGCTGGATAACAAGCAAGACACAGTTAGCTCTCGTCTGCTCACAGGTTTTGAGAAGTTGTTAAATAATCTGTACACACACCGCACTGCTACATTCACAGCTGTAACTTTACTGCTGACTTCATACTCACTGTCTCACACACACGCTCTCTCTCGACCGGACACTCGGTAACGTTAAGCCAGGTTTTCAACACACTGGCAGGAAGCGTGATAGATTATGCGAGACACACGAACGGCTGACAAACTCACAGCTAAACTAATTGATACGCTGGAGCTTTATTGAGGACTGCCTGTTTTACGCACTGCAGCTGGTGATGAATTATGGATTTAACCAGTTTGTGCATCATCGTTGCAGCTGGGCGGCTTATTGGGCTCAACTGACGAGAGGTTAATTCCACATTGCCGTAATAGTAGCAGGTGTGGTCGTATCAGAGTAGTTTTTACGTGTACATGAGCACAGATGCTGGTATCGGTCCAGCTCTAATAAGACCTGTTGAGAGTAGATGTAGAAATGCTTCAGTGGATAAATGACAGAGCAACAACATGAAATGCAGACATCAAGTTAAAAACAAAGAGATTAAAGAAAAATAATAAGCATATTTAATGTAATGTAAACATAACAGCAAATAAAAACAGGAAAAGATCTGAAAAACAAGGACACTTTTTACTACAATGGGTGAAATGTACGTATGACATATGGGAAATAAAGGTATGTCTCTTAAATAGGCATTATAAACAATAGAGGTTTAGTTCTTTATGTGGATGAGGTAAATAAAGACACCAGGAACAGTTTGACAATTCCCACCATGAAACGCTGTAGGCTCCATATAGTAATTGTGCTACTGCTGCTTCTGTCTACTCTGTATTTACATCACATATTGTGTGTACGTCTGTCCTGAGAGACGGATTCCTGCTCTGTTGCACTTCCTAGGGTTCTTTTTTTTCCTATCCGAATGGAGGGTCAAAGCATATTGTAAAGCCCTATGAGACATATTTTAGACTGTATAAACAAAATGTACCTGTAATTGACTTGAAGCAACTGATCCACCCACTGTATCTTCCAGTCTTAATAGTTTTTAGCCGTTTTCCTTTTTGCTGATCTTTTCAGCCACCAACTAGCCAACCCTTTTTTTGAAACTAGCAATAATTGAATGGTCTTTGTGCTCTGTGATGTTTGTTCGTTTGCAAAAAAGAAAGAAAAACATTCAGTGTACAGGTATTTTTAGATTTAGAAATTGATTGCTGATCTGTGGAAAAAGTACCTGAATAATAATCTGTTGTGTTTTTTTCTTTTTCTTTTGCGTCCGTCAGCCACCAAGCTGGGACCTGAGGCGTTCAGATTTGACGGTGGAGGAGAAGCAACAGCGACCAGGCTGAGCGACAGATATTACATCCTGCGACCAGAAGTCATCGAGAGCTACATGTACATGTGGAGACTGACCCACGACCCCAAGTACAGAGAGTGGGGTTGGGAAGCTGTTGAGGTGAGAAACTCCAATAGAGCATACTTTTCCAAGACCTTTTTTTTTTGGGGGGGGGGGATATGACAAAATGTAAACCCCACATTTTATTCCAAGACTAGAAATGTACATACTGACAACTTCATAATCGTCAATGAATCTCCACCTTAAGGTGGTTGAGGGGGTTTTGTGTCTCAGTGACCCTGGGAGCTCTCTTCAGATGTAACAACCAGAATGAAATATTGTCGTATATTCAAACCAGTATGGTAAAAAGATTAATTCCACAATGTCACCTTCTTTTTTAAGTGGGAGATACAGTACAGTATAATTTGATACTCTAGACTTCTTTCTCAGGAGTAGCTTGGACTCTGATTTTATAAATTGTACTCGCCTATTATGTCGAGCCCCTTCTACACCCTCAATTACCCCCAACCATCTTCCTTGATATTGTGCGGCACTATACATTAGCTTGTAGATCAGGCAATCGCACTGGCAGTAGGTGAAGGTTGTGCAGGGAGCACCATTATTAATGTGGCAATAGACAGGACATTAGCTGTAGTAAACTGTAGAGGGCTGGCATGATAGATTTAGCATTAATTTAGTGTGCACAGAAGTGGACAGATCAGGCCGACGAGTTTGACGGGCCTTTAATTATCGGGCACAAAGGTTGAAAGTGGTGCACAACGCTTCCCTTCATGAGCATCAAGCATTAACACATCGGGGTCCTTGGTAATTAGCACATATAAGCCAGCCCTTTGTAGCAGGGGTAATAATGTGCTAATCCGCTTGGCTAGCTCACCATTAGCACTTGTCAGATTTAACATTGCTTGGGCTTCAATTGTGCAGCCGGCTGAAGGGTTCGACATGTTCCATCATTTACTCTTTCTTTAGGTGTACATTGACATTGCTTTGGAGTAAAAGATTTTCTCTTGATGAACTATAATATATCAGAGGAACATGTATGAGTTCATCTAGATGGTCCACAGTGCAGAAGAGAAAAGGCAATTCTGTGAGAGCTGATTGAGTGGGTGAATAAATATACATGAATACATGGATGAAGTAGTATTGATTCAGTTTGTACACTCAAGCTGGCAACTGTGAGGAGTGGTCTTTACCTTGTCCTGAAAAAAAAATGTTTTTGGAGATGTTGACATTTGAACCTGCCCTCTGCCTCCCGTCAGGCCCTGGAGCAACACTGCAGAGTGGAGTCTGGCTTCTCCGGGATCCGTGACGTTTACACCATGACAGCCAGCCACGATAACATGCAGCAGAGCTTCTTCCTCTCAGAGACACTCAAGTAAGTCCTGTTTCCTCACTACATCTCCGGTGTCTGCATCATACCATTAGTCCCCACTGCAGGACTAATAAAGGATTATTTTATCTTATCTTCCGTGTAGAAAGTATTAATAGGGTCTCATTCTTAATGCTGGGGATTCAACTGTACCTTTTTATCTGTTTTATCTACGTCAGTGTTTAGGAGTCATCTGTGGAGATTCCAATCACATACACTTTATTCTGAAATAGGACATTTTGCATAATGGTTACATTTACTTTTGGTACTTTAAGTTTATTTTTATGCTAATACTTATGTACTTTTACTTGCGAACTTCTCCATATTATTGTTGTCGTAAAGACGATCGGAAATGCTTTCCATCTTCCTGAGAGCCGACTGCTAGCAACTAATTGAGTGACTTATTCAGACCATCGGGGGAAAAACAAGAAATATATTCAAATATATTATATTGTAATTCATTGCCAGCGCTGCTCAGAGTACTCACAGTCCACGGTTCCTCTGTCAACAACACAGGGTCCCTCTACTCTTGTGCCATAAGCAGGCCCTCTCTCTCTCTCTCTCTCTCTCTCTCTCTCTCGCTCTCTCGCCCTTGCTCTCGTCCTCGCTCTCGCTCTCGTTGCAATCGACACACTAAGATTTATGCAAATTAATTAGCGATGACATCACTAGGTCTGCATTGGAAAAAATATATATTGTAATTGCTTTCTATTTATATTGCCACAAAATGACATTTCATTAGAAAAGAGTTGGCAACACCGCACAGGACTCTCTGCATATTGTTTTCCAGTTTCTGCAGTAATGGATCAATAAGATTACTTTTAACTTGAGAAGATGCTCGGCCTCTTTTGTCTTTTCTACCAGAACAATCCTGTTGAGAAAGGTTGTGTGTCAGCATTTTTTCCATGGGGCAGTATGTTCAGAGTATTCACACAAAACGTTGGTCAGCGTAATTTCATGCACTGCAGTGACTGGTTACTGCTGATGCACATATTCATGCAGCAGGACAGTAATTAGGTTTCCCCTCTACCTATGGCTCACTCATTTTAACTGTATTAGTGGTACAAGACACTGCTTCCTGTAGTGAGAGGGCAGCTTTTTCTTACAGCACAAATCTAAATCTTAGAAATATTCAAAATGTTCACTGCCGGAAACCAACAAATTTATACTTTAAGAGGCTCTTAAAGTGAGTTTTACTTTAGTCTGAATTTAGAAAAAGAGGATGTAAAGCTACATTTAGTTATCTTTCCTTTCAACCCACTGCTCTGCTGCCACAGCGATACTCTCTCTGTCTGAAGTCTGTCGTGCATAACAGTAAAACAAGCTGATTAGAAACTTGGTTGTGAATATACATGCCAAAGACTTCTACATCCCAAATACTGAAGGTCCTATTCACAATAATAAGGTTGATGAGCTAAACGGATTGATTTTATATGAATGAAAGTTTCAATGAGGGATGCAATCCTCGACAGTGAAGAGGTGTCGCTCTGTTGGAACCACGGAAAGCAGAAGTAAGGTATTCAACGAGCCGATGTTTGGATTAACTTAAACTGTGAAATTGTTTTCCCTGCGCGTTCAGGTATCTGTACCTGCTCTTCTCTGATGACGACCTTCTGCCACTGGAGGACTGGGTCTTTAATACAGAAGCCCATCCGCTGCCCATCATCCGCAGGGGCTGCATGCAGGACAAAGCGACACAGGATAAGACGGTCTCCGAATAAGACTGAACACTACCAACAGCCGAGACGGACACATTGGCACAGTTCATGTGTACACACAGTCACACAAATATGGCAAACCACCAATTCAATGCAGGTTCAGAGTCTTTTCAGGAGCGTGTTATGGACTCTCAATTTGTTTCCAGTAAAGGACGCCGTCGTTTTACGCTGTGATTGTATATCCTTTCGCCGGGGTTACTTCCTGCTGGCAATTCTTTCTTTTTTTTTGTGAACAATCAAGACAAACATGACTTTCATGAAAAGAGCACCTTTTTCTTTCCTTCTTTCCTCTGTGAGGAAACCAAGTATAACTTGCAGACCCAAATGTAGTGGGAGGAGGGTTGAACTATGGGCCATATTGTTAGAAAGAGAGAGAAACGTATTGAAGACCACTTGAGTTTTGCTCTTTGAGTTTGTTGTTTCGTTAATCTTAAGTGATGAATGATTTCCTTATATCGTCATTGCATCTTTTCCTTTGCGAGTACACTCTTTGACCAAAGGTTTCTTTGCATTTCTATTTCCCCTCTTTCCAGTGATGTGTTTTTGATGAGTTTTGACCCGAAAGTAAAATTTGCAACGAGGCTTAAACTGTAATGAATATCGATTAATGTACAGACAAACACAAAATGTGATTCTCAAATTCACCTCCAAACTAATGTTGATGTCATGTTTCTAACTGAAACAAGCTTGAATGAATTCCTTAAAAGTTCGGAGGTGTCAGGAAAGTGGCAGTGTCTTATGCATCCGGGGACAATTAAAAGAATAATGCTGTTGGGTTGCGTTTCCACTGTACGCTTGGGTTATTGTGTGAATAGGACAAAGCTTTCTCAGTCCTCTCAGCCTTTCAGATCAAAGTAACAAATGGAGTGCTGTCAGTTCTGTGGCTGTAAAACATGCATAGAGGGAAAAAGAACACATTTGCACCCAGCTCCAAATGGGTTTTCCTGTTTCCGTTGTAGTTTTTCTGCTTCACCCTGCCTTTATATGTGAATCCATACAGCTGCCAATACTGACGCTAAAGGCTATGAGCCTGAGAGTGGAGAGATTTCATTTTCATCCCGGTTCTATTCATCACTGCTGTCCTGCACAGTTGTGGAGCGAATGTGCTGTACATACAGATGAAGTGAATGACCCCTGTATGAGCTTGTCTTGATTTTATTTTGGTGATCTTTTCTTTTCTTTTTTTTTTTCTAAACTTCAGTGGTTATTTTTTCTGGGTTCTCTTTTGATTTGCTTCCCTCAGGTGTTTCAGTTAAAAAAAAAAAAAAAAAAAAAAGCTAAAATGATCTGACTTTTAAGTCTAGTTATCACTGATAATAATTATTATTACTTATTCTTACTGTTTGATTTAACTTTCATTGTTGGATATTTTCAAATACTGATAAAAAGACCTGTGCAACTTTGTACATTTAAAACAATCCTAATTGTGTGTGTTTTTTGTTTGCTTACATACCAAGTTTCTACAAAGTTTATTTTACAGCAGGTTGCTACAGTTAGAAGGATACAACATGCAGTGACTAACAAAAAGGAAAGAAACTACTTATTTGCTGCTTATATTTTCTTCCAGGAAGCTCATTACAGATTTAATTGAAGGGGGATGTCTCAGGGTTGTGGAATCACAATGAGAAAATGACTAATGCGGTTCAGCCATTGCAGCTCTCTCATGGTGTCTGGCCAACAAAGCAAAATGTAATGCCTTCCTCCCCAAATGATTTGACTCTACCTGCCGTCATCTGAATCCTAATTTCAGTTTGATAGCTTGAAGTGATTTTTCATTTGCTTTAAATATAATCAGCATTCATTTTTGACAGGATTGACATTTAAGTCATTTTTAAAAAATGGTACTTAAATGTCATGAATCTAGTTACATTAATCTTACCATCTCCTTAAAAAAGGACTAATATAAAAGAGTTTGGGGTTAAATACTGAGGGCAAATGTGACCCAAATTGAGGCCTGCAGCTCTTCTACAGTGCAGGACTATTCTTCCCTTAAGCAAAGGTGTGATAATTAAAAGAAGGGCTACAGTGAAGGGCACAATTTGTACACGTGAGCTCGCCTGGAGACATAAATGGGAGGATCACAGTCTATTTGAATGCAACTGAGACTGATAGTGAAGGACAAATGCTATGAGATAATCCGCTCCCCCTGCTTTCCCCTGAGCTGCTCCCACAGTCCCCGACAAGCCGAGCAGGGCGGCCGAAACACGGACGAGACGTCGGTGTCTGTGGGACTGCTGTGTGACTTGGCAAGACCGTCCGTCAATGTGTAACGAAGGGGGAAGAGCCATCGCTATCTCTCTGCCACAGCTGTCCTCCAGCTGTCCCAACCAGGGCAGCAGTTTCACAGGGAATAATAGGCGTGTCATGGAGATCTGGTTCAAGTTTTACTTCATTTTAAAAACACACAATTTCAACTGCCCAGTGATGGACAAAGGAACAACATTTAAAACATTGTTTTCAAGCCAGTCAAAAATACCAGAGCAAAACAGTGTATTAAAGTTCAATTCACTATGATGAAGGGTTGTCCGATATATCGTTATTGCCTATAACTGATATCTAAAAAAAAATTATATATTAATAATAGGTATGTGATAAAGTTTTTGAATTGGATGACTTTTATTCACTTTTTTTCAACAAACTGACTTATTTTGACACACTATACTATGACTTGCTTACAGAAATATCCGTTGCCGTACAGACACACTTCTGAGCAGCTTCTTTCATCAGGTTGTGAGACTCCTAAATTCACCCTCAACCCTCCACCATAAAAGATAGTATTATGATTTTAGTGTGTATGTTTGTTATAGCAAAATGAGATGTCAAACTTCATTTTGTTGCACAACCCTGTTGTACAATGACAATAACTTAACCATGTACCAATAATGCAGCTCCATCAACTCTTGCTTGCTTTGTGTAGAAACCTGGGATGTGACCTTCACGAAGAAGGCCTCGAGCACGAAGCTGCCAAATACAACAAACCAACATTACAATATATGCATGCTGTCTACCTGTCAATTCTCAGCCCTCCTACTTCTGACCCACAAGCTGTCTGTGTTGTTTTTAGAAGCATTAGCAGCTGATTATGCAGTTGTGTTACCTTCTGGGTTCTAACGAGATGTTGGGGCAGCAGATGAGGCCGGCCTGGCCAACCTTCAAGTGCTGGCAATGCAGAGTAGAGCGGGATGTTCTGTCAAGCACACAGCGGAGCTGCACAGTACCCTGTCTGAAGGCTGAAGCATCTGTTTAGTGCACACATGGGTGAATTTATGTTCAGAAACACACACTCCCAGGCTGTGGTTACACTTTTCAATACGACTTTTGTAATCGGATGCGCCAGATCGGAACTGAGCTGTGTTTGCATGTGGTGTCCACACTTGATGCTTCAATGCGACCCGTCTCATCAGATAGTGATCGGATATATTTTGTGGTCAAAGGAGCAGCTGTAAAATGGCGGATTAACACATACAATTTCCTATAAATTCTCCACAATTAAAGTCCCCTGTAAGTTTGTATTAATATCGTATCGTAACACGACTCAGACTGTGCATCTCTGCTGTGCTCCGGCCCTGGGTTTCCTCTTCTCTTTGGCATGTGGACTGGCTGATCGGATCCCAATGTGGGCAAGTTCCAATCTTAGATCGTAGAGACTTGAGAGTTAATGCACTCTGGCATGATCGGATGACAAAAGTTGTATTGAAAAGACAAGTGTAACCACGGCACAAGACGTGACATAACAACACAGCCAAAAACATACTGCAGGCTTGTTCTTTCACAGCATTTATAGCAAAAATAGATCAAATGTTCAATAAATTCATGAATGGAAAGATACGCTTTCCACATTACTACTAGTTATCTTATTGGAATGTATAATTGAATATGAATATTAAATGACAGCATGGAAGGACTAGCATAATTTCCTTAAATCTAGTTAATAATTATAATTATAATAATGAATAGCAGGGAAGAAAGCAGCATGGGCATTATCCAATCATTCATCTTTTTGCTAATCAAATGCATTAAACACTACTTTCTCAAACAATCAAAGAAAGGGAAGAATATTACAGCCGACTCACTTTCCAGTCTATAAAGTTTGAAGAGGTTATGGGAAACACTGTTTTGAAGTCATGCATCTGTTCTGCTTTTCAGGGTTTCTTCCCCCAAAACAATTTGTCTGCATCTAAGAGAGCTACTCTAGTTCGTTCCAAAGCAACACCTAGCCTTAGTCATTTCCCTGAAAACATAAAAATGGAAATAATCCCTGAATAATGAAAATAATTCAATATTCACCTCATTGTGAAGAACAAATTCACTCACATCAATCTGTCCCTTGGCCTACTGTAGAGTGAGTAATACTGTATGTAATCAATGTGAAGCTATAGTTTTTTGACAGAAGGCTCAAGTCGTGAAATTTTGCAGCAATGAACTCTTATTAATTATACTGCGCAAAATCAAGAGCAAGGTACTTCACCATCAGTTATCCAGAGCAACAAGACCTACCTTGCAAAACATTCCATATTGTCTCCCCTTCCTTCCTTTTTACCAGCGACCCTGAGAGAAAATAACTATGGTTAACAAACCATGAAATTGTGCTGACAAGACCCGAGAGGAAGGAGAAGAACAGAAGGGGGGGGGGACAGGAGTCTAAATTGAAGTCTAAATTTGAAAGGCCTCATTTCAATAAATTAAATGTTCCCTACCTAACATATTATGAAAAACTAACTGCAGGCATGAGATGTCTAACTATTTTTGAAAAAGTTATTCACCAACTGTATATATTCACCTTGTCAGAAAGTGACATTTCAGGTGAGATGTGTTTGTATTTGTTTTGAGCACTGCCTAAGATGACATTGTTGTCCCGGAATACATCTAAGGGATTTTGAAGCAAACTCTTATTTCATCCAAAGGTGGAAGTAGGTGGCTTTACAATATAGGATAAGGAGACTGAAGCTGTCATTTTACTGTTTTTGTCACTGGAGAAGACAAAGAAAAGATGGCTTGTATCTTTATTATCTGCTATATGTGCTCTGGCATTTTCCTTTCCTCATTTTAGAAATATTGTTTGACAAAGAACATCCATTTTATTCTTAGGGTTAAACATTATTTTATGTTTTTTTTCTTTTTTATTGCATTGCTTTACAATCAGACATTCACACCAGGGAGTGACTCAAAACTACAGCGTTTTAAAATTGGACACTAGAACAGCTGCATACCCAATAGTGGTTCATAAAGGCAGTTTTTAAGGAGGGATTTCATGCTTCACCATGTCTCTCCTTTTTTCTCTTTAACACTACAGGGGGCCCAAATTCCTCCAGGAACTGCGAGGCCTTGTTGGCAGTGCCAGGGCCACACTGGGTATGCCCAGTGCGGGACACAGGCAACGGGCAACACGCCAACCCAAGCTGAGCCTCCAAGCTGCCTCTACTCCCTCACTGCTGTGGCGGTATGATGAAAGAAACACATTTACATGAATCATGTCGCCATGCTTCTCCAAGGGCTCTCTCTTTCCGTTGTCCCTTTCTCCATAAATAAAAGAACACCCAAGACATTGTTAATTAGGCGTAGATTTGTTCTTAAAGTGAACAGATTCGACAATAGCTATTTTGGAGAAAACTAGTATAAACAGTAGAGCTTTAATGGTCCGCTATTACAGTAGCAGCAGCAGTGGTACTGGATGTTGTTTTCAGGTCAGACGTTATGAGAAAATATAGCTTTAAATGTATTACTAGGGCTGCAACTAAATATTATATTCATCAATGATTACAGAGTCAGTCTTTTTCTGGATTAATTGGATAATTGTTTGGTTTACAAAACATCAGATTCAATTAAAATTGATTTTTATGGCAAAAACTCCTCTTCGACTACCAGTTGTGTGCATGATCATTGAATCATTTAATCATAGCCTAAATCAATACATTTCCCAGAAGCCAAAGTGTTATATTGAAATAGCTTGTTTTGTACAACCAACAGTCCAAAACCCAAAATCCTTAATTTTACAATAACACAAGAAAAGGGAGCAAAGTCTGACATTTAATGTTTGGCATATTTGCTTTTAAAATGTCTTAAATGATAGATTAATTCATTTTCTGTTGATCAACTAATCAATCATTTTAAAAGTACTACTAGTATGTTAACAGATCTAGTCGTATACTTTTTGTTCTAATTGTTCCGTCTTTACACTCCAGCTGTTCCAATATGTTTAGAGAGAAATTATATGTAATAGCAGTGGACCGATACAGCCTGGATTGCTCGTCTGCTTTGTTGCTTTTGCAATTTAATATACTGTATTAATTAGAGCTACCAAATGACTGGAGTGTGCTTCCATTTCACACATGGACATGGTGAGCAGAGGATTCTCATAGGAACTATCAGCACTGTAAAATACAGCAATATAATTAACTTATCTTGGGCATCCACAA